AATATGGAAGGTGGCTACTAAAGGCTTATATTCTGTGAGGATGAAATTTTACAATAATGAAATACCCTGCTCCTCCAGTGGCCACCTGTCATGTACCAAGGCTTGTGAAAACACTCCACTCCAGGCAGAGATCAAAGGAACACCAGCACAAAAACTCTTCCACCCCCACAGATTAGCTCCATAGCCATCACTGTGCTAGGGAAGAAGCACAAATGCAAAATCCTCACTTCTGATAGTAATAAACATACATATTTATTTCTGGGAAACAGACAGATGACTATTTCAGATGGGAAAAGGGAAATACATATTTTTTATTCCTTTAGTAAAGCAGTGAGTTACTAAATATCAACAAAGCAGAAAACTTGGACCACTTCTATAGATGTATCAACTGATGAGCTTGTAAAAATGCTATTTTCAAAGCAGGATACTGGGTAAATCCTCTGAGATATGGTGACTGTCCAAAAGATTGAACAGAGAAGACAGGGAATAAATTTTTCAATGTTTCCAAAGGATAATGTGCTGAAAAACTAACTTTAGGTCTGTCAATTTAATGCTTACCCAGGGCAAAATCTTAGGAAAGCAAAAGAGGATGTGCTCAATAAAGAATTAAGTGTGAACAGCAAAATTAATACCAGAAAACATAGCTTAATGAAAGATAAAAGTTAAACGTAGGAGTTGCATTTATGGTGGGATTTCTAGTCTGACAAAATTTGTTCATTTGTGCATTTGTTGAAAGAGCAGAGTTATACAAGGTCATACGGCTTTCTCATATAAAAATAAAGAACTTCTCAAACTTCAAAGTCTAGATAAGAAAATCAAGAATTTGCTAGAGAGACTTTAAAAGAAAATACTAAATGGGAATCATCTTTCAAAAATAACATTTCTGTTAGGGTTTTCTTACCCAAATGTAGTTCAAGGGAGTTCATGGATTGGGAGGGAAGGCAAGAGAAATTGGTGGTAAAAAATGTGGTTGGCACTAACTGAATGAGAGATAAAGATAGCTCCTAGAGAGAGGTCCAGGCAGCAGGAAAAGCTTGCTTGCCTTCTTTTAATTAAAGAGCTAAGTGCAAAGATCAAACAGCTAGGAACAGGGAATGGGGGCTCAAAGTGAAATAAAAAATATGAATTAATGTTGGCAAGAAATAAACCCACTCTTTTTAATGAGAGCAGATCAGAGAGAGTTCAGATGAAATCCCTAGAATGGTTTGAAATTTGGAAAGTCTTTAATGAGAGACTGAGGAAGCTCAGGTGAATTCTCTCATTTCAAGCTTCCATTTCTACCCAGTGACAGTCACAGTGGAATCTCCCACCTCTCCTAACATTGCCAGCATCCACTGAGTGCCTGCTCATGGCTGCTACAGCATCTTGTCCTGCTCAGAGCAGGGTCACTGACAGCAGGTTGCTCAGGACAGTCCAGGGATGTGAACCCAAGAGCCTCTCTAGGCAACCTGTGACACTGCCTGGTAAGCTATTAAAAAAAAAAAAAGAAAAAGCTTGTGTGTTTAAATAGAATTTTCTGTATTTTAACTTGTGCCCACTGTCCTGTTGAATTCATGTACTTCACTCCCCTCCATTCCCAATATTTACTCACAAGTATGAGATCTCCCTGAGCTTTATATTCTGCAGGCTGAACAGTCACAGCTGTTTTCGGTCAGTTCTCATATCAAAGATGCTCCTGTCCCTTCACCAGCTTCATGGCCCTTTGCTGGACTCACTCCAGTATGTCCATGTCTTTCTGATACTGGGGAGCCAAGGACTGGACCCAACACTCCTGATGTATCTCACTGAGCTGACTAGAAGGGAACTATCACATCCCTTGGCCCACTAGCAATGCTGTTCCCAACGCAGCCCCATGCCAAGATGGAAAAGGATAAATAGGGGACATAGAGAGGAGTCCAGAAAACATATTGGTCCATCAGAAGGAAAAGAGAAATTATTGCAAAGGAATAAATGTTACATTGAAGCAGCAAATAGCAATAGTATTGTTTCCATTTTTAATTCCAGAGGATATAGCAGAAAAAGAGTCTGTTGAAGTAGCCAAGAGTATTAAGGAAGAGCCCACTGATTACAAGAAAAGGGTAATGACTGAAGCCAATGAGGAGGAATACTTACAGAGGGAGTGGAATGGATTTCTGCTAGACAGTTTGTACTGCAGGAGCAAAAAAAAAATCTGGAAGTGTGAAGGAGTCAATGTGAGCAAACCATTAGAATCATAGAATGGTTTGGGTTGGAAGGGACCCTAAAGATCATCAGTTGTAAACCTCCTAGCATGGGCAGGGACACCCTCCATTGGACCAGGCTGCTCAGAGCTCCAAAGACTATGATAGGGAGCAGAGTCATGGCATGGGCCACAGCAGTAACATCCAGCTCATGGAATAAATAAAGCCATGTCGCCTTCTCATTTCATACAAATTTCTATTCTTTTGCATAAAGAACAGTCACCACAGCCTGAGTGCTGAGAACTACTCTAAAGAGCCCAGTGGTTAAAATGTTCTCCAAGACAGGAGACAAGGATTTGGATTTCTTGATGCAGAGGCGTGAACTGAACACGGATGAGTACCATAAAATGTAAGCTATGGATTAACTCCCTTTCTAGTAGCTAATAATATTCTGCCTTAGTGTCTGAGTAGTGGGGCACATACCAAAAAGAAGACACAGCTACTCCAAATCCAACTGCATCAAAGGCTTTCTGTAAATCTGGGATATTTTTTAAAATAAAAGCTGAACAAAGCCTGTAGATTGAATGAAGCAGTCCAAATTATGCACATTAAGGAAAAGAAGAGTCTCAGGAGCAGAAAACTCTGTAATTTACTAAGTAAAGCCTTAAAAAAATTCATTAACAGTTTTATGAAACTTGCTAAGTTTGTACTAGGAGTCAGGAAGATATTTTTAAAAGTAGGGATAGATAAACCATTGGAACAACTTTTGGGTACATAACAGAGAATCAGTCCTGTAAGTCCTTAAGTGAATACTTCATTTCTTTCTAGGAAGGTAGTTTCTGAATTAGGCAGACCTTAAATCTAAACATAAGACTTTTGCTGTTAAGTTATACTGGAATTCAGAATAGCTGATTATAATGGTTCAGTCAGTTTGTTAAAATTAATTTGACTCAATGAAAAAGCAAGGGGATTTCCTCTTGAAATTTCCAGACCCATACAACTCCCTGCTGCAAGATTTTTCTGACATTAAAAGGAGATCATCAGCACAAATTATATCATGACAACAATTTAAAAACAAAAAAAGCAAAAAATCCAAACCCTCCATTTACTGTTATGCAGTAATAAAATCTGGTTTTATGCCACAGCACAAGGATAATTAGTTTGGTTGGTGTAACTAGAGGAACTATTTGAGTTTGATAAAACTTTATCAAAAGTTCGCATCTAATAGATGCCAAACTATCAGTTCCTAACTCTCAACCAACCTGAAGACGTTTTCCCAGTCTACCACCACTTTATCTCATTATAATGCCTTTAAAGAGATGTTGTAACAGTCCTTTGGTCTCAAGTTCACAGTTTGGGGATGTGTGTATGGAGGCGGTAATTCTGAGATACTGGAAGCTTTCCGACTGCTTTTTCCAGACATTCTGCTAACATCAATTTGTGGATGGATGTAACTTCTTGTCATCTCCATTGCAGGGCATGGCTGTCAAAGACACTTCCTGGGCCACTGTTCATATAGATTTGTTTGTTCTGTTCAGAAAGATAGGGGAGGGAAAATTCAGATATTCCTCCATTAAAAGGGCTGGAATAGTTTATGTCTAAAATAATTTGTGGACGGCATTTCAAATAAGAGATTGAAATGCTGGATAAGAGGAAGCACTTTGAAGACTGTGATCAAATTTCATCTTTGAAGACAGCCAAAAGAAAGCAGAAAAGCTTAATGGAAGAGGTTACTCAAGGTGACCTGCCATCACTGCTCCTGAATGGGAAAGTAGCAGGTTAATAAAAAGGTTTTTTCTTTGGATACAGAAAAATAGCAACACAGACTGAATTTCAGCTTTTTGGGGACAATAGTGACTTCCCCTCCCACTCAGCTTTTGGATTCACAGCTTCTAAAAGACCTCCTTCAAGTGTGATTCCCATTAGAGTACAATACCAGGGGGGCTGACTACAGCAAAGACATTTCCTTTTATAAATATATATATATATATTTATATATGTATATATGCATGTATACATTGACCACTATGCAGACATCAAACATTTAGCCCCAGCCCAATCATCTACCACAGGAGGCTGGGTGAGGGATTTCTTGGAAGGAGAGGTAAATTTAATTTTCAAAGAAGTCCAATGGAAAAGCCAAATTCCACTTGAAATACAGTACCACTGTGTAGCTATGGAAAACTGTTCCCAAGGAATTTTCCCAGGAATTATTACCTAAAAAAAGGCTAAACTAGAAAATATTGCCAAGATCTCCAGAATTTCCTATGAACATCAGCTAGCTAGCAGTATGAGAGATTTGAGCAACCCTTTGAGCCAAAGAAAACTAAAGAGTGTCTCCCACAAGGGAAAGCAAACATTGCAACATCCATGGTTCAAAAGAAACCTTCAGGTGACTCATTATGAAGTTCCCATATTACAAGGGCTATATCATGGTATGCCTGCATGCTGAACAAAATTGCTCAGGAGACCTTTAACTTGGCCTAAGACACACTTAAAAATGCCACAGATACTTTTTCTTCTCTGTGTGGTTTATGTAACACGTACAGTGAACCCTTCTTTTACATTAGAAGTATCTTGGTCATGCAGGTGACTTTTACAAAGCATTAAAACGTTGTCATCTGTCTCAGGGACAGGGAGACACAAATTAAATTCCACTGGGCTAGAGGGACAAAGAAATGCAGGAAACTAAAGCTAATGTTGGAGTAGTGTTCCCCACTCCTGTAACAGAAGTTACCATGGTAAAACAGGCAAAGAAAAGATCATATCACAAAACATGTGGAGAGATCAAATACATCTCAGTGTTATTTCAAACTGTATTTATTTCTTTCATGTGTTGTATTTTTCTAAGATCTTATTTAAAAGATACTGTCTACAATGCATATTTTTCTTCTTGAGTGTCTGCTGTTGAGTACAACAGTAAAATAACTTCACGAAACTTCCACAAAAACAAACAGAAAACAAACAAAACCCCAGCAATATTTCTCCTTCCCTTCCCAAAAGAAAACTCTCTACCTGCTTTTTTAGATTGTCTCTGAAATGTTTTTTTCTGCATATAGAGTAGCAAGTAAACACATATATTACTACAGTTTCTGCAGTCACTTATGTCTTCTTTTCTAGAGATCAGGAAGACCAGGATAATTACATTTTCCAAGAGGCAAAACAATTTACGAAAAAAAAATACACATATTCTTATAAAAAATTAAAAAGGACTTTCATAATCAGCTGTTTCAAATATGTATGCATGAATAATGACATCTGAAAACCAGTCTCTGCAGATTGCTCATGAAGAGTGTGCAGCTGAAGTCAGAGTAAGAAAAGAAATGCAATAAAGAGCAGTTTCTTGGAGCTTTTATGAGGTCACTTGGCCTAGGCCAGATAAAAGTGAATATTTCTGCAATACCCTGTAACAAGAGGGAAAAAACAGAATTAAAGTTTATCTCTTACAGCAAAAACAAAATTCAAAGTCAGCTTCTCAGGGATTAAGTCCACTGGAAAATAAAGTCTTCCTTTTCTTCCAACAGGTTTTAGCTTTTAATTATGTAAAGCCTTCATGAAGGGATTTCTATCTTTTTGTAAATTTAATTCACAAAATATCCTAATTATCTGCAGACGTATTAATAACTCTTTGAACAATATATTAACATAGCAGGCTGAAATGTGTTTTCAGAACAACAGTTATGCAAGGCTTAAAAATACACCCATCCATATTTCGTGAACACTTCATAAGTAAATACATTATTGGTATTGTAAATATGGTGAAAAACAACAAAGGATCTGATGTGTTGAACTCCTTCAGCTGTCCACAGGTTATAAAACCTAGTAGAACTGTGGACTGCAAAAAATAGCCATTTCTGCCCCTCCAGGGAATTGCCTTTATCTACACATTGTCCTTTCCTTAGTGAATTTGAGGAAATTTTTTAGTAATAATTTTACTTCTCATAAAACTGAACAGACAACACATGGGGAGTCAACAATATTATTTAGATACTGTCTTCAGAAAAAAGCCCTGCTGCAAAAATATTAACATAACTGTTGGAGTAGCAACTGATGAAAAAAGTCACGTAAGAATATCTAGATTTATGGGAGAAGTGTTGGAAGCAAGAGGCTTTTAAAAACTTGATTATTTTAAATTCATTTTAATAAAATGCCAGCTCTCAAAAAAAAAAAAAATAAAAATAGTTATGTGAAGCCATCTCCTAAGGAACAAATAATCTTTGTCAGTACCTAAACTTGCTTCAAAAGTCTCCAGGCCTAGAAGTAAAGGCTCTGCAGACATACTTGTATCAGAACTGAGAATCAGAGTAGGGGATCCCTTTCAGAAAGGAACACAGCTGCAGTGGGCCTTTAGAAAAGCACATTTTAAAACAGAGGGCCTGATTTCTCTGATTCAATAGTGGTGTTTTCCTGATAGCCTCCACAGATATGAACACTCTCCCTTTCTGTTCATGAGAAATAGTTGGAAGAACACAGCCCACGACAGTATCCCCTTTCACTTAAGAACACCAAAATATGGGTCACCTCCTGCACTTCCAGCCACACTCCTCAGCTGTTCAGGTTTGTCCAGGCACAGTCTATAATGCAGAGAACATGGCTGCAGTGAAGTTTTAGCCTGAATATCAAGGCACTCCCAGAAGATGCCTTCATTGCCATCATCTATTCTTCTTACCTGCAATACATGTTCTGTGATTCTTTACAAAAGTCACGTTTCAGATTAGGTATGTACCATTGCATGGCCCCCAAACACAGAGCTGGAATGCATATATTTTAAGATCCCTTTTCATATTGTTTCAAAATTAAACTATGTAAGTTATCATAATGAAATGTCAAATTTAAAGCTAAATTAATACTGGTCCAAAAAAGAACAAACAAATTTATTATTCTTACCTTGCTCCTCTTTTATTCCAAGTAGTTTGACTCCTGGATAAAAGAAAAGAAATGCATTAGTACAGTATAATGTGCAATACAATCACATATTTATGCAGGGAATTATGGTTTTCTAGTTGTGTGGAGCTTTCTTAATTATTTGAAGCTCTTTTGAAACTCCACTTAAAATAACAAGCAAGCCCTTCTGCAAGATTCCAGTCCTAGGAAGAAACATATTTGATTGGAACTCTAAATAAATAGCAGGATGTATTGACTCAAGAGATAAACATATCTTGCTTCTGCTAGGGAAAAAAAAAAAAATCTAAAAGTATTTCAAATATCTTCAGATACTTCAATCCTTAACCTCACACAATTTGAAAGAGTGAGAAGTTTCTTCTGTTCCTGCCCAGATTGCTACTATTCTTATTTAGGATGAGACTCTCAGAGCAAAGAATGATTGAGCTCAAGATAAAGGCAGGTGGAACACATCTGCATATGATGTTTGACAGCCTTGCCAGAGGCTGTAAATTGCTAAACTGAGCTATAGCCTGCCTGGACATACTCATGTGAAGTCCCTTTATTGATGCTGATACTTCTGCTAAGTAGGTTCTATATTTTCTGCCAGGAAGGATAAGCATGTTGTTCTCAGTAAAAAGAAAATCCCAGCAAATAAGAAAACAACCAGTTTTAGGAAACAAATTAATAATCTTTTCAACTCAGATTGTACACAGACTAACCAAGTTAAAGCTAAGTTAGCAAATCACGTTATTCATTTAAGCAAATGTAACCACTGTGGATTGCATTCTAGAACCTTCTTATACAAATATTATTTTCTCAATATTCCCATGTTAAGCGAAAGCTTTTTCTTTGTTTTGAGAAATCAGCATTTTTATGCAACTTGATCCTTCTGTAAGTATATTAAAGATGGATTGTTTACAGAAACCTGTGGCATGCATGCTGGCCTTGTGACTTCAGGGGCCTTTGAGCTGTGGCTCTTTTTGCTGTGCAACAGTAAACTTCATGACTTGTTCCCCCTTCAACTGGTCACAAATAGCATAAATCAAGTGCTGGTTGAGACTCCAAAGAAACTTTCCCATGGGTCATTCTGAACAAAGTGCAAACCCACAAATCATGTTTATTTAAAACAGTTTTATCTGTAAATCATATTTCCTCAAAAGAAATTTATCCAGCATCTTACTGAGTTCCTGTTCTGCACATGGGAAAGAAAGAGAATGGGGTTTCCTGTCCCACTACACCTGTGTATTCAGGGCGTAGCTGCTTTCTACAGCGAATATCTAAAATTATGCATCCACTGAAAGAGCAGAGTCAGCATTCAAGGGAGCATTTCTCATTCTTATGCATCACACTGGATATAATGGACACATAAGAAAGGAAGATGTAATATGTCACCTTGCCTTCTAGATCCTGGGTTTGCTATGGCTCAGCAAGACAACTAGTATTTCATTAAACAAGAGTAGACTTATGAATTCCATATGTTTATGATGTGACCTCTCCCTGTTTACAGAATAAACAAAAGGGTACTTGACAGTGCCCTGTTTTCATGTAAAAAATTAACAAGGTCTCTGTTACAGGCTTGCCATGCATTGCTTATGGTCTCTGAAAATCCCTACATCCCTGGACATGGGCAAATCTCACAAGGCAGTGAAAAACAAAATGTGCAGCTGTTTTAAAGTCATTCTTTTGTAACAACAAAAGTGTTCTACTCATCATTTGTGTCATAACAGTGAACAAATGCTGTCTCAGTTCTAAGTCCTTGCTGAGTAATGAGTAAATTAAGAAGAAATTCTTTACAGTGAGGGTGGTAAAGCACTGGAGCAGATTCTCCAGAGAAGCTGTGGATGCCCCATCCCTGGAAGTGCTCAAGGCCAAGCTGGCTGGAGCTTTGAGCAACCTGGTCTAATGGAAGGTGTCCCTGGGCCTGTGGCAGGTGGGTTGGAACCAGATGATCTTGAAGGTCCCTTCCAACCTAAACCATTTTGTGATTCCATGACATGATCTTATTTATTAAACTTTGATATTCAAGGGACAATGGTTATCCTCCTATCCTAAAAGGCTTATCCTTATGTCAAAGGCAGTGCAAAGGGCATTAAAACTTTTTTGATAGCATACAGCAAGACTCGGAGCTTTCTCAAGGGTGCAGTAGCTCACAGACAGAAGTGGAACATCTTTATGTTGTTTACCCATCAAAAAAGGAAACTACATAGCCACCCAGAGAGTGTCCTGACATTTATAATCAAAATGGCAGAAAAAATTACATTCATGAAGATCCTTCTTGATATAACAGCTTATAAATATTCCTAATAAAACAGAAAATGTCTGGAGGGCATTTGAATTAATGAAAACTCATTTCCTATTGCTTAGAGGACAATTGGACAATGGAACTGCTCTCCTGCCCTCTGCCCAGACATACACAGTATATTCAGCCTCCTCCCCTTTTCTCCATGCCTTCTGTGATACCCATGTCCTGAATCCCCTAGCCCCCAGGAAATCAGGGCAGAGCTGCAGCTGCTCTGGAGCTCTGCCCACGCTGATCTGCCAGAGGGCTGCAGTCAAATAATACAGAGAATGCACCACCCCTCAGAGCAGGCACTGTTTTAGGCTGTCTCCTATGTTAGTCACTGCTTTTCACAAAACACACAGAAATTTAATTATCTCTGAGACTTATAATCCCTTTTAAATTTGGCTAAGATTGGCCAGCAGCTGGAAAACCTTATTACATGCAGACAGACAGCGTGACTGTACAAACTTCATTTCTTCAGGAAACCAGGCTAATAGAACTAACAGTGAAAAATAGAGTAGGTACCTCGACAATAGAGCACAACATTCAGTTTCTGTTAAGTGTGAAGTTGTTGAGACTGTAAAGAGTTCAAACAGGAAAAAAACAAACAAGTGTGAAAGAAAACAAATATTTTCTCTTTGGTGCCACTGCACAGATGGAATAGGCTCAAAAATTACCTTCAGGTCTTTACTTTGTGGACCTTTTTTACTTCTTTTAATCTTAGTATATAGTCTGACCTGTTTCAGTTAGCTCCCTTGTAGTGTAAAATGCCAGGCTGCAGACTACATGACTTGTAAGCCCTGCCTTGAGTTCAGTCCTCTTTGTTTAAAATCCCAAAGGAAAGGAGAATTTTGGTATAATCAAAGGCACTAAGATTGCTGCCTCCAGCCTATCTTTTAAGAGATTATTTTTCTTTCTTGCACTTGTTACCAATACTCATTTTTAAATTCCTATCCATTATGACATATTCTTTCATAATTTAATCTTTTCCTGCTCTGTTTAGTCTTCAAATCTCACGTTATAACATAAAGGCAAAATAGATCTAGCATTACCCAACAGAAGGCAGGCTCCTTGGGAGTCATTAAGTAAATAACAGAGCAGTAGATTTATCACTTCTATACATGGGGTTTTATTGCATTTGAGTTGATGCATTCTTTGAATATATATGTAAAACTCCCCCCTCACATGGGCTGGCTGCATACACCACTGAGTCATCTGTTGTTAAAACTGTGCCTGGGCTGAGCACACTCGTTTCCTGGAACCAACACCCACGCTGTGAAAGAGGGCACGTGCATCTGGCTAAAGGCAAACCCCTGCCCCCTCTGCAGACAATGGCAAGGTTTCCAGGGGTGAAGGCAGGTGCTCTGACGGAGATGCTCGAGTAAGATATTGGGGATCTGGGCTGTGTTACACATTTCCTTTGGAGTTTATCAGGAAACAGTACACAAATGGGGATAAAAGACACAAAGTGCCCTTGCTGCCTTTGTTAACCAGGCACCATGCAGCAGGCTTTACCTTTTGCACTTTCACTGTGTATCAGGTGGCTGTGTCCTGCCTGCAGCTTCTAATTCTGTTATCTGCAGACATGCTGTCCTTCAGGAGGTGGCTCAGGCCTGCCATACACTCTTGCTCTCTCACTGACACTCTGTAGCTAGCCTGGACATCTGCAACTTGGCTTCCATCAGTTTCTGGGCTGCCTGACGTGTTTCAGATGAGTAAAGTTGCTAATGCCTGCTCACAGACCTTATGGGAGGTTGAGCTGGCCTGTTCTGTCTCCTCTTACCAAGACCAAGAACTAGGACAAGGTTCTTGAGCCCAGGGCTTGCCCAAAGCTTGTAGTAATGAAAACATCCTTTTCCCACTTCCAGTACATGGAAAATTCCAGTATCAAGAATATCTGCTTTTAAACCATGCCTTGACTTTGGAAATGCTTGAACTGAACTCTTTCTGGTATTCACTGGCCAACATACACACCTTCACCAACTAATCCAATTCAAGCTTTTACATTTTATCAGCTAAACACCTTTATCTACATTGTAACACACATTAAATTCTCCTAGACTCTCATCATTTTGCTTCTTAGTCTTCCTAACTCTTCCATTTCTGTACTAGGGTCCTTTCATAAATAGAATTTCAATCTAAGGGAAAATTCATGATGGGGAACTCATATAATTTATTTTTTTTTTTACATTGAAAAGTGCAATTGTAAACAACAGTCATATTAATATCTCATTATGATAGTTGAAAAAATGAATGGATGTTTAATAAATTATGGTCAAGATATATTTTCTTCAAAGAATCCTTACAAATACTGATTTTAAATCAAATGTAGTTGAGTCTTCTTTGTCATAATTTTATATAGGTAAAAAATGAACAGCTATACAAGGAAAGATATAGATAGATAGATAGATAGATAGACAGATAGATATAGAAATTTGGGATTTTTTCCTTCCAACTTCAATATCATATTAAAATATTTACAGCATATCCAAGCATCTTTCATTTAAAGACTTTAAAAAAATCCCAAATGATTTCACTATTCCAGTTCTGAATTTAAGGGAGTGCCTTGGATGTGGCCCCTTGCAGTGAGTGCCTCACACACAAGGCCACTGGGTTCTGCTGGAGGAGCAGCTCTTCCTTTCTTCTCCCATTCGAACAACTTATATTTTAGACAGAATTTCTTCTTGAAAGGTACTGAGGACATCCAGCCAGGGCTGTAAGTTCTTTCAGGCAGGCTAAACACACACAGACACACAATAGTGTCTGGAGAAAAATTCAACATTTAAACAATCTCATTGCCCCTACATTCTGTACCAAATAACTTACCAAGATGCCATTATTGAGGTAGTCCAGTATTTCCAGGGTGGTAGATATTATTAGACTGTGTTTTGTTTTGGAGTCGGTCCAGGAAAGCATTATTTACCCTTAAAGTACAATAAAAAATGAATAATGACTGAAGGCACCTGAGAAGTTCACAAACTATTGAAATTTAACATTCTGTGAGTGGCTTTCCCTTCCCATCTGTTCAGTGCCCTATATCTTCTATATTTTTCAAGCCTGTGCTGAATAACCATGGACAGGCATGAGATCAGGTGGATTTAATTTTCAATTCACCAGATGCATCCTTATCCTGGGATCAGCCTATTGGCATTAAAAGGCACACCTCTGTGCGCTAAGGCACACAGCTGTCTACACTGCTGTGCATAATACACCATAATTCTCCATAGAAAGATGACCTGTGTACCACCACCCACCTTTTTAGGGAGGTTACATATCTTGACAATTCACCTTAGGTGATCTTTCAGCCTTCAGTGCACAAGGAAAGTTTCTAGAAGTACTGATTTCCTAATAAAAATGTAATAACCCACTTAAGCTTGTTACTAATAGAGACAATTTACGCAGCTGACAACTTTTTCTACCATCTAGCTCTGAAATTCTAGCATTTTCTTGCACTGCTCTATCAATCTGGAAAACATGGACAAATACAGATAGAATTTTCTTCAATTTTTTTAAAATATTTTCACAGTGGGATGGTTCAGCATGGAGAAGAGGAGCCTGCAGTGTGACCCCACAGCAGCCTTTCAGTATCTAAAGTGGGCTACAAGAGAGACAGAGAGGGACTTTTTACAAGAGCACGTGGTAAGGGGCAAGGGAGAATGACTTTAGTCTGAGAAGGGGTAGATTTAGATTGGATATTAGGAAATATGAGGGTGGTGAGGCACTGGCACAGGTTGCCCAGAGAAGCTGTGGATGCCCCATCCCTGGCAGTGTTCCAGGCCAGGTTGGATGGGGCTTTAAGCAACCTGGTCTAGTGGAAGTCCCTACAGATGGCAGGGATGTTGGAACTAGATGACCTTTAAGGTCCCTTCCAACCCAAACCATTCTATGATTCTTTGGAAAACTCTTTCCCCTTGATTACTGCACAGGACTGACACACATGCTTAGACATGACTGTTGTTTTACAAGGATGTTGGTAAGAATGAGATAAGAAGCAAAATACTGGGTTACTTCTGTCTAGGGATATGAGATGGATTGAATCAAAAATCCTTCATTAACTTCTATGGGTAATTATTTCAATGTCTTTGCTGGAGAGAAAAAAAGAAATGAAAGCAGTCTGAAGAGTGGTTGCCTACAGAAGTATTTTTTTTATATTTACATAATGATTAAAAAAAAAAAAAAAGAAACAAACGGTGGTTTTACATTTGAGCCTGAGCATTGTTTCTTTTTACCAGCAGAAAACAAAGCTGAGAATAAAGCTGTGCTTCAGGGTAATGAAAAGTCGGTTAAGTAACAGAAGTGGAAGATGAGAACTGTTGAGCACAGAGAGGCCACAGCAGTGAGGCACAGCCTGGGGTGCAAAGAAATGCAGCTGCAGAAGGTCTTGCTGCACTACAGGTTCCATCTGAATTGATATCAAATCCCACATTTAGCTGTCTGCTAACCTCAGAGACAGTCAACCACAAGATGAAGCATGGACAAAGTAGACCATTCTAAAATAAAAAAAAAAGATATAGACATAAAAATATATAGATACCTAGGTTCATACACAGGTAAAGTGTGTCCCAGCTGAAGCTAGTGTACTAGTAGTCATCCATGAAACTACTAATCATTTCTACCCTATGCTGTATCCTATGCTGATAGGATAAATAAAGTGAGAAAGGCACTCTGGGTCATACTGCATACAGTGAGCAGTTGTAATGATGGACATTAGTGGTTCATTTGAAAGGAAAGCTAAACCAGAGATACCAGAGATGAGGTCAGGGATCCTCACTGCAATAGCCCTCTAAAGCATGAGTGCCTGCAATTCTGAGACCCTTTCCAGGTGGGAACTCAATTCGAGTGTATTCTTCATTTTTTGCATCATACCTCCTCTGTTCCTTTTTAAGTGCTTTTGTCCTTGTTTCATCTTCCTGCTTTTGTTTAAATTCCATTAATTCAGCCTGGTGAAGATAAAAGTGAAAAATGAACAAATAAACAAACAAACTTACTTTTAATTAACATACTTATGCTGCAAACCCTATCAATTCCACATGATGTTAACCTCAGTTAGAACCAGAACTTCTCTCAGCAGCATTTTACTTATGTGGCAGCATAAGTAAACTGAACTGGTTTTTCTGTTCAGCACATGGATGATTTTTGTTTGTGACTTAAGAAGTGTGAAGTTATAGGATTCAGACATTTACAGTCTTACATTTAAGGGGGTGTGCCAGACACCGGTTGGCTTCCCCTTGTCCCAAAACACAGATTTGAATTTCCCGATGTGTCCGAGGGGGATAACAGGAGCAGACACAGCTGTCATGCTCACATGGTAGGAGGGAGACCTGTCCCTGGCCTCCTACCTCTGCAGAGTGCAAGCAGAAGATGAGATCTGGGGTATGTGATGTGATGTGTCACCTTCAGCTCCCTGGGGCTCCCCAGGGTGAGGAGGGAAAATGGCACTTGTTGAAAATGGTGTGGTGGAAACATATACAAGCTCCCAGCACTACAGCAGACTACCAGCCTTATGTAGTATTAAGGTATATAAACAGTGTCAAAGGGAATTATTTTCAGAGGAGAGTTTGCTCATGCAATTTCAGCCAGAACTGTGAGGAAAACACAGTCGGTATGACTCTGCTCTGTACATGTGCTTGTTTGTCCAGCTCCTTCTGCCTGCAATGCGCCCAAGTCGCAGATCTTTCTGCAAAGTAGATTTGGCTTGCAGGGCAAGGGGGAAGGCATAGGAACAGACACATTTTTCATATTTTCCATAGCAACTGCACAGCAGTAGGAATTGAAACTAAAATAAAATGATGTGGTTAGATAAAAGTTTCAATAACTGAATGGAAATACAAGATTTTTTTTTTTAAATCAATTTAAGTGGAACATTAAGTAAAAACTATGCAATAAATGTATGGAGAAAATCAATAACTGAGAATGTGTTGTGTATCAATATTTGTCTAGCCCTAAAAGAAGAAACAGGATTAAGAAATAAAAGAGCCAACCTCAATTTTCACTATTTTAAATAACTATTCAACCTGAAAATTAAAAGTCAGTATCTGACTTTCCAATATGCCGACTTCCTTTCTTGGAGTAATGTTCTGAAATATATTGTGTGTATATGATGCGGTGTTCAAAGTGTACTGAAAATTTCTAAATCAAGCAATACACACTAAAACCTGTTCTGAAGAAGAAAAAAGGGAACTGACAATACCTACACATTTTATAGCTACACTGTGCTAGGAGGTACACACAAGACAGAATTCACAATTACTTTAATAAATATTATTGAAGTAGAAACGAGCCAACATATATCTGAGAGACAATTATTGGAGCCCTTAAAATACATATTATTTACAGTAGGTTTGTAAGTAGTGCATTACTCTGCACAATAGGTAGCAGCAACTGTGAAGGCAAGGAGACCTTGGAACCACACAGCAAACAAGAGCAGCCTTAGAAGCAGCCAGCACCTCCTTAGCAACCCATGGAAATCACTAAAGAGTCTACAGCTCTTCTCAAGTCCCTTAAACCAAACCCATGAATTAGGGGCATGCTAATTTACATCTGTAATGGTTTTCTCTTTGGAAGAATCCATGTACAGACTACAACAGAAACCAGCCTTACACCTATCCAGTCTGGCTTTCAACACTTTTCCTCTCTATAGGCTCTGGGAAAAAGCATATACCTGGTGGGATAGCAATTAAGAGGCTCCATTTTGCCCCACCTTTTTTTCCAGTATCATAGCTGTTAGAATACTATGAAATGAGGACACAACCTCAACATGCAAAGAAAGATATCCATGAGAGGGGATGAGTAACTTCTCCAGCCCTAGAAGAAACTCAGTGCATGGAAATTATTTTGCTAAAATTCTCCAGCTGAGGAAGTATCTTAATATTAATTTGGATGTTAGTAACAGCAGAGGCACAGCAAGTGGCTCAGCACATGCTCACATGTTTTCAAATGATTTGCTAGATTTTCAAGTGCTGTTCTCCCTGTACTTTCACAGTCAGACCTGGAGCCAAGACCGGTAACTTTGCACAGTGCCATCATCCTTGGTAGAGTAACTTTATGTGGGTATGGTACCCAAATCTATACCAGAGGGACTACACATTTCAGGCAATGCATGATGCATGTGCAGAATACGGAGTCCAAAGTTGCAGTTATGACATGCCTGCCTTTTAGACAATACAAAACTCTTTAGCTAGGTAGTCAGCAAGGGCACAGAGAGGCATACTATAATTAACAGCAAATCTGAGCATTTCCACATCCCCTTTTGAAAAAGCAGAGCCTGTGGCTCTCAGTTCTCTAGAAACAGACAATTCAGAGAGATCACTCTTAATTTCTCAGTCAGATGGCTTCTGCCTGCAAGAGTAAACTGGTTTCCTTAGCCTATGAAGTTGGTTGCCATGGTCAAAAAGCCCTCTGCACAATTATTCAAGTGGAGAGGTGAAAAGGAGCTCATTTTCCAGAAGCAAACAGCCTTGAACTCAGAAGATAATTGTCCTGTCCCTGTTCAAATTTTACAGCTTGACTCATCTCTCTCACAATATTTGAAAACAGTGACTGAATCACTTTTGCTAAAGAGAAGCTCTGTGCATAGGCTAGAAGTAATCAATGTATTTAATTGGTTTCACAGCATGCAAAAATGATACAATATGCAAACTGTTAATGTATAATTACCTTCCTCTGTTGTTCTTGCTTCATTTCCTCTAATCTTCTGTTTTCTTCCTCTCCAAGAGCTTGCTTGTAAGCAAGGCTTCTTTTCTATTGTTCAGCAGAAAATAAAAATATATTGGTGTGGTGAGAGAGGGGCCAAACTCCCAAACCTTATTCTCAAATTGTTATATGGGTAACTAACAAACACAAATGGTCAAATTATTCCAGTTACTTAAGAAACAGATTAGTCTCAAGACTAGAATTTAAGCAAGAAGTGGCCTAAAGCCTCTCAGTCACTCTGTTTGTTTGAATATCCACCTGTGCACCACACACAGGTAGTCATGGCAAGTGCTATTCTGTGTCCCAGTGACAACCATAAAGATACCCTGAGCAGAAAACACACAAAACACAGAAAACACAGTTAGGATATATGATAGTGAGATGGGGTATTCTGGGAAGAAAGAAAAGAAAATATTACCAAGATAAAAAAGCAGAATGGAGGCCTTGTAACAGAGGGGAAGACAGGATTTTTTGTGGAGGTAGGGCAACAGGAGAGATAAAACCTGCCATTATTTGTGAGGCATCAAGAAAGTTAAAAATGTGAACTACACATCATGAATAATGTACTAACTGTGCAATAGGTTTTAAATACACTAACTACCCCTTAAAATAACTTTACAATACACTACAATACTACTATAACTAGCCCTGATCTTTCAGAAGTTGCAATTGTTTGCAACAGGTCAATCTACAATTAGGCTCTTTGAGGATCCTTAGGATATTATACACTGGAACTTCTACTGTAAGGTCTTTGAGCAGGGACATAGTGTAGCACACTAAAAAATGAGCCAGAATAATTTAAGAATTGTGCAGGTTTGACTTTAGTGAGGAATTTGTTACAGGTCTACAGAACATTCCCAAAACTTGATATATGTGTGCAGAATGACACCATTAGAACAACAGGCACATAATTTGCTAAAAAGACTGAATAGAGAAAGCAATTATTAATAGCTCAATTTTGAGCTAGGAGAAGTTGCTACACGTGTCCAGGGAGACTCATTCTGGTTCTGATATTATTCATTACTCTCCTTAATGGCTCTGAGAATTGTGTGGAGAGTATGTTAATCAAGTTGGAAGACAATAAAAATCTACACAGGATTGGTCACACTTTGAAAGACAGGATTAAATTTAATTATGAGCTTGATTAAATAAGCAGGGCCAAAAAGACATCAATGACAGAGTCAATCAAAATAAGTCAAATTTGTTCATGGAGGTGAAGCAACATTTGGCAAGGATAGTTGAGCTAGATGTGCTAAATTAATATCACTATCCAAGAAATTATGTGAGGGGAAAAAAACTTTGGTCTGCATCACATTGTCTCAGATCATTTTCAAAACAAGATTTTCAAATTTTAAAAAATCACATACATGTATGTATATTCCCCCCTTTAGCATGCATGTTAGGCACATCCTAAGCTTAACTCTTCATTACTTCAAATACATTGTTCCTGAATCTTTTAATTACTCCGGGCAAAGGACACATTCAAGGTAACATCCAAATTAGAGTCCTAGTTTTCCTACTGGTTTTGCATTTTGGTGCTATGCCAAGTTTATTTAGATAAGAACTCACTGGTTATGTGCTTTGGATTCCTGGCTCAGAGGACGTGTCTATGCCTATAGACAGGACCTTATCCAGGCTGGGAAGACTTTGCTAACTTCATTGCTGTATTACAAACAAGTGATTATTTGATTCACAAAGCTACAGAAATGCGGCCACACAAAGGACAAGTATAATGTCAGCTGGTACTAAAGAGCAATACAGATAAATGATGTATTTTATCTGCTTGGACACTAGTGGAGTGAAAGGCGAACTGTGGGATGTAATTTGGCACAAGGTTTTGAGAGACCTGTCAAAACATGGAATGAGAAACCCACGCATAGGGAGGTGAAGCAGAAGGCCAAGGCTAAAAGTAAGACCTGTAAAACTGAAAGAGATCAGTGTTCCTTCAGCCATCCACCCACTTCTGTATGGATATGAATACAGCATACCAAAATGCTGAAATCCAAGTCAGTTGTGGGGACATGAGCTCACTTGTCTTCACAGTTCAATGCTCACACCATACAAAGGCTGCAGGGCTAGGCCTTCCCTACCATAGAGCAAACTCCCCACTGTTTGGAGTGCTGGATGCTTCAAGAGGGAGGTAGAAGTAGCTTCAAGACATCTTTTCTCCCTTTTCATATCCCTTCATATCCCATATTGGTTGTTTATCCACAAAATACAGTCTGAAAGCCACTCTCCTGCAACTGACGACCTGTCCAGCAGTGCTGGGCAGAAATTGGCACTTTCTAGCTATAAATCTGCCCACATTTGCTAAAATGTCTTTCAGGTTTTCAGAGATACAAAATATCCTGCAGAATTAAAGAAGAATGGAACCTATTTTCAATATCACCTTCCCTTTTCATGCAATGAAAACCAGAAAGAGATATACTAGAGACAAGACAGACATGTCATATACCCTGTTGGCAGCAAATTTCTATAAAGGGAGTATTTTTTTCCCATTTATAAGGCATCTGAGGAAATGTGGAGGCAAATCTTCTTTTCCTATTACCCAGCAGCTGGTGCTCAAGGCTGTATACAACAGAGGGCTGCCCAGACCAGATAGTTCCAAACTTCTGCTGGGTTGTTCCCAATGTAAATTTCTGTCCACCTAGCTCCCTGTTCTCTGTCCTTCCCCAATTACAAACCTCTCTACAGGAGAAATACTTCTCTCTCAGGGTTAATACTCCTCACTGAAACTTTTTACATTTGTAGGAAAGCTTGGTTTAGACATGAAGAGACTAATTGTATGTGAAAAAGCCTCTTAGAGTCAATTAGAAAACTGAAATTGAAGCAATACTTTATCTATTTCCTAATTACACTGATACTTACCAGACTAGTTCAAACTGGGACAAAGACCCCAAGCAGTGTATGGAATCACTTTTAGGATGCAGCGAGAAACAAGCTTCTCTTTTGACTAGATTTTTAATGCAGTAAAGCATCTGCTCACATGAACTGAGATTTCATAAAAGCTTACCACCAGTGGATGGGTACAAGGCATACTTAAGATTCTCACCTAACCAGAATATAAACCTGGTTCTCATTTATCAGAAAGAGATCCATGAGCAGTCCTCTACTATGTATAATACCCTGCCAGTGTGGAAGAGACAAGGTATGCAGTCTCATTTACCCAGAAAGACTCCTTGGTACTCACTGAGTTACGTCTTGGCAATTAAGCTCAATTAGGATATTCCAACATTACGCTATTGACAGCACCTGGAAAGTTGATAGAAAATACAGCACACGCTATGGTTTTGCTTACCCATGCTATAGATTCTGGGCCAGGATTAGCAATCTGACAGGAATCACTCTTTGGCAAACCCACGTCCAATCTGTTCAGTAATTCATTGGTTTTGCTGTGAAGAAATTCAATCCAAATAGAATTGTTAGTGCTTCCATAAAGATAAACACAGCTTTTTATTCCACCCTTGGAATTGAGCCTAGACATTTTATCATGTGTCTGCTGAAAAACATCACAGGTAGAAAAAAAAAAGGTTATGGAAACAGGCAAATGGGTCAGAGGATACAGAACCCATACAGTGGATAAGACATTTGCTGGGATGATTTTTTAAGCAAACAGTTATGGTCATTTGCATACTTGGGGTGTGCAGTGGCTATGCTTTCCTCATTGTAAAGCTCCTATAAGACAGACTCGCATACCACTGGACTTCATGAGGATGCAACTCAGCTTCACTGAATTGTTGCAAATCCTTCTATGAGATCTATAAATGTCAGATAAGTACTTTAAAAGATTATTTTCGGGAATTTTCCTTCACAGTTAATGCAATGCAGCCTTACAACAGATTACTTTATCAAGCAGAAAGGCTTTCAAGCATTTTGTACAATTGAAAAAAATGATTGTCTTTAGTTAATGCACAACATTTTCACTTCTTATTCTGGCAAGGACAATTTTCTTTTTCCAGCTGCATGCCTAACAAACCCAGAATTTCAAAGTAGCATCAATTTGCTCACAGTTTTGACCAAGTACAATTAAATTAGGTCACAAACAAAAACAAAGAATGGGAGTTTGTGTGCTGTGGTGAGGAACCAGTTTCTTAACCTGCACTCCCAGGCACGTATATTGAAGTCTTTTCGCACTCAAAGGAACAGAGTTAGAGGAAAGAGGCAATTTTACTTCTGTGTACAGCTTTGGAAAACATGAAAGCATTGAAGTGAGAGCAGAAAGAGTGCTTCAAGAGATATTGAATGCAAAGATTTACTCTTCTCACAGGGCAACCAGCTAGCTCTGTGTGGGAGAAGATGCCACTGCCAAACTTAAACTTAGAAAAAAAGCTTTGGCTGCTGAAGAGTGATTCTGATTAGCAGCTGAAACAGACTACCAAGTGTGTTTTTATATTTCACTCCATGATCTAAAACTGTGAGTAAATACTTTATCGGTAAAATATCCTGCTGGTCAGTGAGGAGTGATATATAGAGAGGCTGGGAAAAAGAGCAAGAAGCCACAGGTTCTTCTCTGCTACTCTATGCAATACAAAACCATGTTACCACTTCAGGTATGAAGTACTTGCTCAAGTTCTAGCAAGTCAAGCTTTTAGAGTTTTACCATTTCCAGTTCACTCCCTTTCCTCCATCACCTAGGTAGTTAACAGACCTCAGACAATGCACAATAAAGAAAGAACCAGATGAAATACTGATTTCCCTGATCTACAAAGCACCTGTATATAAAGGTTGAACAAATTAATAGTCCTCTTATACAAGTGTTAAGCACTCAAATTTTTTCCAAGAAAGATGAGTTATTAAGTGGTAAGATGGCAAAGAATAATTTTGGGAAGGTGAAGATTTAAATTGAAGATTCTGTGTTTCCTTACCTAAGCTAAAACTGATCAAATAATAAATTTTCTACATCAGGAAGACTAAGAACTCCTACAGAAAATCTGGAGTATATTTGAGAGGGTTGAAGGTCTGTAAAAAAACATGTGGCAACTTGGTACTATACCTAGACACTCTAATTCCTTATTGACAATAAGACAATGGCATGGAGTATGTGGCATTTCTCATTATTTGCATAAAAATGTGGTAGAGACTATTGAATTTCCCAGGTCAGCACACTGCTAGGTGAAAAGCTTACTCAGTTTTAGTATCAGAAAAGATGAAGAGTGGAAGCAAATAAAGCTACTCAGCACGACTGTGCACTGCCTTTGAATAGAGAAATACCTGACTTCACCAAATTAAGTAATACATTAATGAAGTGTTCCTGTCACAAGAAAGGGACTCAGATTTCTGAGTTTTCTGATGAAAGACAAGTCAGGTCTTATATATATTAATCTGTTATGTGCCATTTCTATGGAAACCCAGCAATGTACTCAGGGCTGCCAGACAATGTTTGAATGGTATTTTTCATAATACTAAACCTGCAGTTATAACAATGCAGAGCATTGCTTAAACCAGGCTGCACGGAAAGAGAATTCAGGGAGATTACTGTTCAATTAATGTTCTGGAAAGGAAAGTAGTATCTCCAGAAGGAAATCAGCATATCAATACACAGTCAGTTGGAACCACATCTCATTCACTTGCTAAAACTTCAAGGGCTAATCAAAAATGCTAAAATATACTCCTCTAAACTTAGTAACATTGAGGAGAGCATGAGATGAAGAAATTTATTTGAATACAGCAGAATCCTGATACCCTTCAAACAAAGCTAGGCAAAAGGAGATTACAAGATTTAGACCAACCAAGAAGGCACCCTACTAGTAGGCTGCTAGCCTGAGCTCTGACTACCCCTAAGCATCAGTCTGAAGAGGACCACTGATACTCCAGTTAATCTGGAGTGATCTTATGAGGGTATTTTGTCTTGGTAGCCCTGTCTCCCATTACACCATTGGGAAAAAACCTTTTGCTTTGCTAATTAAAACAGCTTCCTCCTATACCGTGCTCAATAGCACCAAGCACTACTCTTAGCATGGGAAGTCAGCCATCTATAGTGCGGTAGCTATTCTGGAATAGTTTAGACCTGTCCCAAACAGCACTTTCACAAATAACTCCTGGCTTCTGTCCAGGAATGAATATGAACCACAGCTCCCAACAGGCATTTTAGATGCTGCCATACCATTTTGGGAGATAAAAAAGTTTTCTAGCAATGGAAGCCGGTACTCCCAGGCCTCAGAATTGACAGTGTTTGACAGTGTTTAATTTATCAGTACAGATGCAGAAGTGGGGGAATGAAGCACAATACTGGATTTGGGGTCTGAATAACTATTAACAGCTGTCATGGGAAAATACTAACTGCTACCAGGATCATCAAGTTATGTGCTAGAAGGGGTTGGTGCATGACAGTGGAAATCAGTCCATGTTGCAGATGCTGTCTGCATCCTCAGATCTATGGCTTTACATTCTACAGCTACTCTTCAGGCAGAGTCCTTTTTTAAAAGCTGCTATGCATAACCATTTATTTGAAGCTCAACAAGTATGTGTAAAGTGCAGAACCACGAATTTGCTAGGTGTTCCACTGTGAATGGTGTAATTCAGGCAGCCTGCACTCACAAGCTACTTGTGAGCCCACATGCATTTCTTATTCTTTGGGACTAAATGCTGTCCACATTCCCTCTAGGGTGAGATGAGGGGATGGTTATAAAGGCCAGAGTGAGCCAAGGTTCCTCCGGCCTGTGGAGTTCACATGCTCCAACAAGTCCACCAGTCCTGACAGCTGAGAAGCAGGCAGCTCCACAGCTGACTCCAGAATGCAACTGCAAAAGATCTGAAGACCCACAACGATCTCATTGCAAGATCCAAGGTCTGAAATCCTCTGCAGAGTAAGGTCTTCAATTTTGTGTGTCATCTGCTTTTAAGTACTGTCACATCTACAAGGAAACAAAAGTCTTGAAAGGGATGCATCCTTAGGGGCATGAATGAGGATATGGAATCAGGACCCTGCATTTTCCTGCATCCAGGAGTTGCACAGCAGCACTTGCTAAGCCTTTCATTTGAGACTGTATTCCTCTCAGAACAAAGACAGAGAGAAAATAATTTTTCTGCCTACACATGAAGTTCTCAGCTTTAGGTCTTCTTTAAAGACCAACATTAAAAATGCATTAATTAAAAAGACGTCTTGTAATCTTCATTAGTTCTTCCCAATGGAACCAGTGGCAATTAATTCTTTTGCTTTAATTGATGGATATTGAAATACCCGTATATCAAAAAATACACTGGCTTTTATGCCAGTACATTTGGGAAAAAAAAAAAAAAGCAGCAAGATACTTTTGTGTATATCATAAATCTATTTATTTCCCTTGACAATTTGTAAAATATAATAGCCAATTCTGAGTACTTTTGAAAGCAAGATAGCTCATGAACTTCTTGTTTTCTCAAGCTGCAGGATCTCCACCATAACAATTCTGCTCTAATGAACAAGCACAAATCTGCTAAGAGTCATTCAAAATTAGTAATAAAAAAATCAAAATAAAGAACCCCAAAGCAGGTAAATCATCATAGTCATTGCAAAGGGGAGACAACTTGAGTAGTCACTAAGACTAGAGAAGAAGCATTTAGTGCTGAGTAACACGGACTCATGAGCTTCCAAATTAATTGCCTGTAAGCAACGCCAAAGTGACATTTCACCATTTTCTTCCAATTCTGCTGGAAAACTAAGAACCATGTATGATGCATATATAATCTTAGTTTCACAGATCTACCCAGAAGTTTCATGACAATTTTTAAAAATACCAGGACTCTCCCTCTCAGAAAAGAAAAACAATCAAACAACAAAGAACTCAACACCAGATTTCATTCAAGACATCTTTTTGCAGTACCAGCAACTTCTTCCCACTCCAGCATACTTAATTGGCTAAGCATAACAACTATTCCTCAACTATTGCAGAAATTAAGATCAGTTGCATAACCCTACAAATGCCTACCCAGAAAAAAAGCTTCTTTTCATTTCAGTAAGGTCCATGGTGGGTGTGTTTTCACTGATGCCCTTGTTCCTTCCTCAGTGAGAGCTCTGCCTTGTGCATTGCCATGTGTATCTTGGTCAGGCATTTGCTGTGACCCACAAGGTAGGCTGGCTGATACTGGGGCCACTGGCATAACAAAACCAGATGTTAAAATAGAAGAAGCTCTCCAACACATTCTTGGTTGGAAGACGGACAGTTGGACTCCAAGGAGAGGTGTAGGTGGGAATTTCACTACTGAAAATAATTTGGTAAAGTGGGAATGAAGCTGGGGGGCCAATAATACCATTTGTGGAAATAATCCCACCAAAGATACGTGGCTTTTGCTAGTGCACAATTACACATGCTTCCTCTCACATCCCCTCCTCCTTGCAGAGATGTGCCACAGTCAGATTACTCTGTTTAAATAAATTCAGAAGGTTACACGCAACTTCCCTGTTTCCCACAGC